GCCCGTTTCGTTCTCGTTCCCGCGCCGCCGAGACTAACGCATCGATCGAGGCGAGCCGCGTACCCAAACGACTTTGTCAGCTTCTTCGTTCCGACGGGCTTGTCGCTGAACTGTAGCTCGTAGAAGACCCGCTGCAGCGCGAAGGCGACGCTCTTCATCGTGTCGTCATTCTCCGTCGGCATCAGGTACACGGCCTGCAAGATGCACTCACAGTTATACTACTCGCCGCTGCTACACACACGCTCACCGATCTCCTTTGAAGAAAAAAAGTTTAACAATCTTTTCCCCTCCGCCTTTCACGAGTTCAAAGGTCAACCGAGACAATTAGTATTCGCATGCCAGTGAGAAGACGATGTTATCTGCCTCCGATAAAAGTGATCAAATGGTCACTGCTGACGACTTCTTTCTCAAACGGGAAATCCATACAAAATTACGGAAACTCGAATTACGCAGACGTTTGAAGGCCGGACATATTTTCAAACGCACAGTTGCAAAGGCAGTAAACATAAGATTCACTGCGTCGTGCATAAGGGATGGCCACCTTTCTGAGTTTGTTTGTGAAGAAAAGCGTCTGCAGTAGGGAGTTCATGTAGCAGGTGGCACCCTGGTTCTTCAGCCCCACGTAACCGGTGTGCTTCTTGGAGTCCCAGCTACAAGGGCAAAGCTCAGGGTTACACAAAACCTCGCGCAGCAATGGACATGAACACAATCCAAGATCAAGTCTGAGATCACAAGTGTCACCAAAATCTTACAGAATACGCAGAACAATTTTTTTTTAATTTTGCAATTTCATTACGAATACTGCTGAAAAATTATGCAAGTATAATGAAATAAATTAATCTACCTACAGCAAAAGTTAATAAGTACATAAAGTGAGAAAAAACAAGTGCAAAAACATCCTCCATAACATAAATAGTTACCACAACACAAGTATAAAACGTCACGACTTATAATGTGTCATAAAAAAGTCATGACACTTTAGATTTATGATGGTGACAATTGTTTATGAATTTCCCTGACAACGGTCACCAGGTTACACCATTTTTTAAGGAAAATTTTGCGGACGATATTTGAAGGTTGTGTGGGTGAGGCCGTCCATTGTCGAGAGGTCTTACCTTACGCCATGCGGTGCATCAGCCGACACAGACACCTCCAACGTGATCGTGTCATCTTTCACGTAACCTTTATCCGTGTCCAACACATCCTGCGTAAGCCACAACTCACTTAACATTTTGCCCAACTCTCCAACCAGCTCACTCGCGTACAAGTAATTACTGTGTAAATATTGCCGCTCTCGCTAATTTAATTCGATCACAGTGCGCTAGGTGCATCATTGATCACAGTGCGGCATGTTGTTTTTGCTGCGTAGAGTAATAGAGTTGCCCTATACTTGTAACAAATAACTTTAGTTACTTACACTCCATGGAACAAAATGGCTGAAGCCCCAGTCGTTCTCTTTACTATAGAAGAGATGTTGAATTTCTGAAGAAAACACAATGCATTCAAGGTAGTAACGGCCTAATGTCTACTATCATAATAGGCATCACACATAGGAGCTATGTGTCAACTATTTGCATGCATTTGCACACATATGTCAAACTCGTTATTAGAATTACAATCATTGGCAAGGCATTCTCAGCTCAAGTACCAATTCAACTAATAGCCATGTAGATGGCGAACCTCACAAATAAAACTTCCAGTTAGCAACGCAAACGTTCTGAGCCGTGCATCCTTGTTGCAATGCAATAAATACTGCATACACTATACAGTGTACTTCGGTGGTGTACAGCGCCTCTGTGCATGTTTTTGCTTCAGGTCTTGGTCGTGCAACGCGTCTGCAGAGCTGCGGTTGATAAACAATGCAGACACAGAGAAAACGTTCCAAAGAAGTGAGTTTGCCTAATTCATTGATATCCAAAGAATGGCATTTCCTCTGCTCTAACATGTCTAACATATGTACCGATTATTCCCTCCTGCATCATACTGAGTTACGCATTCATTTATCCAATATCTAGTAATCTATTACGTTCCCTTGGAAACACACGCTGTGTCACAAATTTAGCAGCAATTCGTCAGGTGAAGCGAGGTTGAAAGCGTATTCTACGAAGCAGACACACAAAAGCACTGCCCAACGACAAAACTCACGTCGACTCAGACTCCGCGTTGCACTGCAAGAAAAATCCCAGGCTCTTCGTAACCTGCCGCTCCTGGTTCTGCGACGTTCTCAGCATGCACATAATCTTCCTGCCAAAGACAAGAAACGGTTTGGAGGTTTTTCGTTGGTGCGAATTCCGCCCACGCAATCAGCGGCGCAAGTTTGACATGCTTCTGACGCGGACTCGAGAGCAATCGCGCAGCGAGTTACGACACGCACCAGCGGGAAATAGAGATGCGCATCGCACCAGAGCCGGCAAGCCGTACACATCGCACAAATGTCCCATAGATCCACCGAGGAAGATGAATTGATATCAATTCGTGCAAACATCAATTCATCACGGTTTCGTCACGTGCACGCTGGTGCTCAAATTTTAAAATTAGGTGTGCCACCATCAAGATTTGTGCGTACACCATGATAGCAAAAGAGCATTTCATCACTAGGTTTACGTATTGCCCACTCACCTACCAATAATACATCGTTTAGGTAATATTACTGCACAGCTACAATTTGTAAGGACCACCAGTGATGTACCCATGACGTAGTAGCATCAATTGGTCGAACAGCCATGTTATCGGGCACACCCGCGCACGCAGTAATTTTGAACAGTCTTCCTATCCAGGGTCTCCAACGCGGAAATCCAAATGCGGAATGTTCCCGCGGTGATCAGTAACTAGTGGCGTATTCAGAATTTGATAGAAGGGGGGGGCGAAATGTACCTTGGCTGCCGCAGGCAGGCCCGCGTGCCGTAGGCATGCCAGTGCTAGGGGGGTCTGAAGGCATGCCCCCCAAAAAATTTTGAAATATTTAAGCCATTTTCCTGCAATCTGAGGCATACTGTGGGCCATATTCTCATGTCTGATAACACTATCTCAACCCTACAACCCTTGTCTGATTAGCAGACAAACTACACAATACCTTGCAGACAGCGCCTGTCTGACTAGGCTGTTCCATTTACTGTAGACATGCCAGATACAAAATGCCTGAAAAAAAACAATGTGTCCAAGCGAACAATCCGAACAATCAGTGCAAATTTTGTACAGTGCAACTGAAATGAGGAATATAACCTTGCCGCTGCAGAATGCAGAAATTAAGCCTAGAAATCGTAATGATTCCGCAGAATGAGGAATGGTTGGAGACCCTGCCTATCCTTTCACGGCGGAACACAGCTTTTGGCGGCCACGCCTCTGCTGCAGCATCCCCCCATGAACGCAATACCGGCAGTGGAAAAAATACACGGGGACTCGGGGCGATTTAGCCCCCCCGAAATGCCAAAAAGAGCCCCGGAAATGCCAAAAAAAGCCCCCGTAAATTTGCATAGTTCAATGCAAACCAAATTTTAGAGTGCTATATTCATGCACGCGAGCTTGAAAAGTAGCCCCCAAAAAATATATTTTATTTTTTTCCCTGAATACCGGTGCAGAATTTACTGAAGACCACCTTCCTCCCCAACATCCGTGAAGCCCTACCACAGACACACACGTCAAATCACAGGGGGGGGGGCATCACCAAGAGGAAGAACAACTCACCACGGCAGGTTTCTGACGAACGTCGGCGGGCTGAGCACGGTGTCCTTGAGTCGACTGATGCTCTGCACGGTGAAGCTAAACGTGGCTTCAGATCGCGCCTCATCTGCAACGATCATCCAGGGTTCAACATTAACTTTTTATTTCACTAGACCATCGGGTTAGTAACTGAGGAAAACCACTAGCCCTTACCTAATTTTCACTAGCCCAGACCCAGACCATTGTTATGAAAAACTTTATTTAGATAAGAGTGTGTCATCGTATGAATTCATAGATGCTGTTTCCCGCGCTTTAAATCGCGCGTGGGCCGAGTTCACGTGCAGCATTCGTATTCCACCACGGGCATACACGAGCGCACGGTTTATCGATCGTCTACTGCGGCTGGCAGCAAGCCACGTTATTGTTTTTGCCGAAGGGTAGACTGGTAATGTGGTATCCGGCCTCATGCTCCGCTAGACAATGTACACGCTCTGCGACAAACAATGTGGCCGTGAACCAGTCTAGCCAGAGGTGACCTTTTAGTGCAATATATATGACCAATTCTAACACGACCAGTCGGGCTACTAGCACTCTGGTTGTATGCGACCGGACCAAGCATTTACCCTACTAGGTCGGTCGGACGTGGGTTAGTGTCGAACCCTGTCATCACACGCGCTCTCAATCCCTACCCACCGCCCGCTGGAAAACTATCGTGACGACGACGCGGTCCCATCGAGTGTCAAACGATGGCGTTTCCCGGTCGTACGCGAAAGTTGCCAGTTCAGTACGCCCGCATATTTAATGTAAAACTTGTCATTATCATTTCTCCATTCTCATTATGGATCATACTTATGGAGACTCATGCTAGGACATTTAAAAATCTAGCAGGACTGAAAACAAGATTTTCGTATGTATAATATTCGAGTAAACTTTACTGATTATATAAGTATATCAGTTACGCTGCGGGCCATAATAAAATAATCAAACATGGCATGCCAGAGACTGCCGCATACCACTGTACAGGGATGAACCCGTGTCCAATAGTGGTTGTTAGTGGGACAAAGACAGCTCGCCCCCCTCCCAGTGGGATAAGCTTTCATTGTTTTTTTGTTTTTTGTTTTTTGTTCTGGGAGTTCACAATTTTTTAATGGTGCACGATGGGTGCATCAATAGGTCATCAGGGCAAAATATAACCGAATTGGTTGACGAATGGGGCAGGGTTAGGCACACTGGGAGCATGTACACAATGCACAGCTATGAGCCTGCATGTACATATTATATATAGTTCTAGTTGCAGCTGCAAGACATTGAGAATCAGAATAATCTGGATTTTTATACTATCAAGCCCAGACAGGGAGTTTCGCTGGAAAATGCTGCCGACTGCTAAAACTCTTTCTCTGCGACATTAATTTCATGTAACTCCAGCTTGTTTTAAAATTCATAACAAGCCATTATACAGCCAAGGGACAGACTTTTCATAACTACTGAGTGGGGCAATTTAGTGCATTTCTTGAAACTTATTATGTTTACAGCAGAGGCATAACTGAACGGAATTGTCAAAATGATAATGATTTTAACAAATGTTCATAAATAATTCCCCCCAAATTCTTTTCTCCTACTCCTCCACTGCTAAAAAAATACTTGAGAATATGATTATGCTTTAAACGCATACTAGGCCCATTGATTATGCAATGTTGACGAATGCTAGAGTGACTGGCACCTTGTGTAGTTAATAAGTACATAACCTTACATCCAAACGCGTATTAGTTTGTCCAATATCACTGCTGGTTACTAAGAAATGTCTAGTTGAAATCCGCAGTCCAAGAAATCAGTTGTTTACAGTTTCAAACCGCTGCCAGCGAAGCGGGTGTGATACAGATTTATAGTGCACCGGACATTTTCGCACGCATGCTCGGCCGTACGCAATGCTATCATCAGTGATTTCGTAAACACGAACGCTCGTGATAAGGAACTTTTTGTCAGGGCTGTCCATGTGCATCCGTGATTAGTATACATGTGTGTTTTACTCCATTTCCATGCTTAGTCCATGGCCGTGGTTACACTGCTGACACCTCCATTTCATCTAGCGTCCAAAACATACGGGCCACACAAATGTTTACGTCATCGCTTGACTCCTGGATGACATTTACGGCACGTAAATGAATATCAACAACCTATTTCAAGTCTTGCTTGTAATGTAACCAGCAGTGATATTGGACAAACTAATACGCGTTTGGCTATAAGGTTATGTATTTATTAACTACACAAGGTGCCAGTTACTCTAGCATTCATCAACATTGCATAATCAATGGGCCTAGTGTGCCTTTAACCTGCATTACAATAGATCACTTAGTATAAAACACATAATGATTCATGATTGTTTCTTTCTAGAATCACTAGGAAGCGGCCAGAATGGCCGTAAAGGCTTCTTACCTTCCTCCATCGGTTCGTCGCAATTTTTACTGACAGCATTCACCTCTCTACCATTGACGACGGCATTCACCTGATTCTCATATGCCACTTCATCGCTTTCAATCATCTTGACATCCTTTGCTTTGATAGTCGCATCATCGGCTGTAACAACACGTGTCATCGTCAATTCAAGTCAAGCGGCATCCCAAATAACTCATGCATAATAAATGAGATCACTACGCTTCGCCGTTCGAGCAGAATGTCAACTAACGTGCATGTATGATTATTCATTGAATAAAAAACCTTGAAACTATGACAGTCCTACAGGGGTAAAAATTTACTTTTGAACAAGGGAGTCCAATGGACTCCCTACCTTAAAAAAAAGGGAGTCTGCAGCAAAATGAGGGAGTCCGCAGTCTGAGGTTCAAAATTAAAGATATTAACAATAACGCATACATGTGCTTATTTTTAAGATTCATGTAGTTGCACGTCTGCCAAATTTTCTTCGGACATTAGCTGAAAAAATACAGTAATTCCGCGGGACCATGCTCCGGAACGAACTAGTTAGTATGGCAGAATTTTCAGGGAGTCACACGGACCCCTGCATATGTCAAATCAGAGAGTCCGACAGTAAATCAGGGCGTATTTGACTCCGGACTCCCGTTAATTTCGCACCCTGGTCCTATATATGTGTAAGCCTGTAACTAACAACCTAAATGAATGGCGTAGACAGAATTCTCATTACAGTTGCAAATTTACAGTTATCTAATCATTAGATATTGCCGCATCTTATAAATAACAAAGCTATAGAATGTTATCACACACATTCGTTTCGCGAACTTGGGTTGATTCTACTATTAAAATGGTGTGTACAAAACTGAGTTTGTATGAATCAAATTTAAAACACAAAATTACAATGATAGTGTTCACTGTTGTAATCATGACATGTTACAAATATAGCCGTAATTGTTCCACTTTACAAAATGCCAAAGCTTTGAAAACAATTATACTGGAAAGGTTTCAATAAGTTAATAACACACTTCACTATTGACTTTGATGAACAGGTGTTTACGCAAACGGCACTCAAATATATTGCAAATGCAATACTCTAGATTACAGGTAATACATATGAAAATAATCATAGGCAACTACTTTACACTAATCCAAAGAAATCATGCACGAACAGATATTCAGCATGATTTAAAACGTGCAATGATTTTTGATTCCTTTCAAATTCACTCGCACAACCCTTTATACTCCATCTTATCCCGATTACATACTGGTAATCCCCTTCCAACTACCATATTCACTGTATATATGCAGTCCGGACAAGATATCAGATTACCGAACATATTACAGACTGAAATCTATATCCCCACTCTTACATAATACACTGCACAATTAGCTGATGCTGTCAGTTATCTAACTAAACCAACCATTATTAATTATCATATTCCGCAAAACACTGTTTGTCTGGTTTGCAGTTTTTCCGTGTATAATAGTTTTCCATATGTTTCTCAATATGTTACTCTTCTCAACATGAGACTGAGTTATCATACAGTTGGATGAATGATGATAATAACAAACCATATGATTTACTTTTTTTGGATTTGTTACCATTTATTTCTAGCAATACAGTTGATTACAATAACAAGAAACGAAATTCAGAAGTTTTGCACTGGCCCAGAGGGCTGGTAACACAAACAGCCATTTCTTACCAGCCCTCACCATCATTTACCAGCCCTCATAAATTTTGTTTGTAAAATCAATGGCATGTTTCACGCTTGCATTTTCGATTTCAAATTTGTAAATGTTGATAAATTATGGCATGATATCCTTCAGGTAAAACAGTAATGTAAGCTATTTACTCATTAATGCTAAATAAAAATGTAGGTACTCGCTAACACGGGCGCTAACACGGGCCGGTGTTTTGCCAATGGGACCGGCCTTCCAAATAATTTGCCAGCATATGCCGGTGGGCCGGTGCAAATTTTGTGCCCTGCAGTAACCTGTTAAGCATTCCAATTAGATGACTCCTTAGTAGAATGGTTAGATTTATATTACCAGGAGTCTATTACCCTATTCCAAATAGATTAAGTTTCACCGGAAAAATGTCAACATTAAAACTACGTTACTACCATAGAAGATGACGTACCTGAGAACAATTAAAAGTTTAAAACACAAATAAATCTTTCTTTTCTTTAAATGTGCAGCACACATTTCTCTTCCTTTTCCTTTTTGCAACAAGCATGATCAACCCATCATGTGATTATGGAAAGGTTGAAGTAAAGTCAGCAAGTGTCAAGACAATAGATAAATCTTGAAGTAAATGGTGATCTGATGTGGCAGTATTAAATGCAGCTCTGAATGTATATATTCAGTTTGTGAACCTTTAAGAATAAACATCGCTAATCAAGCATTTCTATACGATATGAAATCGGTTGATGAGCAATCAGATTACGTCAAACTTGTTTACTATGACTGTGTGCTTACTCATGCAAATCTATAACACTTTCATTTTAATTGCAATCATCTTAAGATCAAAAGGAATTCCATTTAACTGCCTGTTGAACACGTTAAACTTAAAGCCTGCACTGCACATACGGCTCTTGTTAGTGAATTCTAATCCTTGATTTAAATGTATGGTAGCTGTCTGTTGAAAAGGATGAAACGGCTATACACCAGGGTTCTCCAAGCATTCTCATTATAGCATGGCAGGGCTGCCTTTACGGTTCTAGTTTTAGCATTTTTTAGCTAATTTTAGCATGGCGGCTATGATATTTAGAGTGGCGGGTGCATTTTAGGATGGCGGGGCTCGACGATAGCCTGGCGGGCCGCCAGGCTATAAGTGCTCTTGGAGAACCCTGTACACGATAACCTTTTCTATTAAATTGGCTTGTGATTGTATACATGCAAATCATGTAGGAATTATGCACGCCGTGACGCCAATTGATGACAAATCTTTACACTTAACAACAGCTATTTTGTATGAACAACTATGACCATGGTCTTAGACACCAGAGTAATGTTTGCATAAACCTAATATTTTGTTTTGCCTCATGAATCTTAATATAAAGGGGCCAAGACTTGCATGCACATGTATTCCCTGCTTATATTCCAGTTCTGACGTTTGATGTTTCATATTTAGCTACACATGATTAAACATCCCATCGGTCTGTATCAAATATTACAGACATGTATTTTCTTTAATGGTGAGGTGGAAATCTCATTTTATCCTTACATCAACTCTATATAAAGTGAAATCAGACAGTAGACTTGTGTATTTCTGTTTTCCAATGGACATTGTTGTTTGTTATTTTCAATTTTCTTTAGAGATCATGAAGAGATTGTAAACATGTTTGCACATTCACTCTAGTCCAAGTTGTGTGTACATCATCGAGAAAACGAGGTGAAGCAAAAAAACAAAAGTTGGCACAAAATCTGAATATAATGAAGCAATCGTGCCTGCATGTAACCATGTTCCACAATCTGCAGACTAGAGACTTCCTTAATCATGCATAGCTTATAGTACTGCACGGCATCCTTCTGTTGCACACATTTGCCACACAACACCGAATCTTGAATTGCAAATAACATATTCACTCAAGAATATCCATCGATACACAGGCCCTCGGAGGCTCAAGTTTCAAGAAGAGTATAACTATAAGAGCGACGCGGCGAGCGAGGGCAAGCGAATAGAGAGCGAGCCCTCCAAGGGCCTGTGATCGAGACAACAACACTACGCAAGTAAACAATCTACGCTCACGTGTACAACTAATACTATCGCCGGTTTTCTTCTATTGACTATCAGATGATCGCCGGTTTTCTTCTATCAGATAATGAACATAAGTTAATACTAATGCAGAGAGGGTCTATGTCCCCCGGGGTACTGCCGGAACGTACCCTGGGTACGGTCCGGTATACCGGAACGTACGGTACCCTGGTACTATCTAATATGCCGGACCGTACCTCTCCTACACCACTAACGAGTCTAGGGAGTCGCCTACTCCCTAACCCTAACTCTAACCTTAACCCTAATCCTAACTCTAACCATATCAAATAGTGACCAGGGTACGTTCCGGTATACCGGACCGTACCCAGGGTACGTTCCGGCAGTACCCTGGGGGACATAGGCTATGAGCGGCAGTAACCTGGGGGACATAGACCCTATGAGCGGCAGTAACCTGGGGGACATAGACCCTATGAGTATGAGCGGCAGTATGCGTTTCGTTTTTTCAACCGATCTCGCATAGTCATAAACTTGACTTGATTTGATGATGATAACGTGAATTCGCTGACATAAACGATTCGATAATAATTTCGACGAAATTCGATTGAACTCGGCAATTAGAAGCGGTAGATGTTGGTACAGCTCTCCCTACCTAATGATAGAGCGAAAGCATAGGCACTGCCCTCACTGTTTAGTCCGTTAGCTATGCTAGTAATATTGGTACTGCGACCGACATCGTGAATTCATCAATTATTATGAAGCCAGTCGCTTTTTGCAGCCTAAGTCGATTGTCCTAATCATGGGGAGCTTAGATTACAAAAATCGATTTCCATCCAAGATTGCAATATTCCAGTCCCAGATCATGGGTAGGTTTAGATTACAAAAACATTTTTCGTCCCAAGATTGCAAATATTCCAGGTTCATGAATTATAGGGTCCCGACATCCCAGCATAGGGCCCTGAACACAAACTAAGGCGTACTGCCAGGCCTTGATCGAGCTGCTGCGTAGGCCTAATATTTCTATCCAAAACATTATCTCTGACGGCTCTACTCCGGTATCCAAACCGAGCCGTCATAACTGCAGGTCTACCGCCTGTATTTGGATTTTGTAAAATATGATGTTGCAGGTAATGCCGGGGCCATTGGCGTGTATAGATGAGGCCACGCTTATCTGTTCATCCGCACGCCACGCACCGCGCGAGATAATACTAATATATAGTATATAGCGGCACCAATAAATAGCCGACCAGCAGCATCAAAGACACCGCCTCATACCCGGATGGGGTACCATCCCGACTGCGTAGCTCCGCTTTCTCGCGTTCCTCTAGGGACACCACCCTCTTACAAACACTACGGCCAATTTTAATTGTCATAGAGCCGCTCATTTGCGCTGTTTCTGCTCGTGTTCGGCCGATCTCTACTGCGTAAATTC